TAAGATGTCATGTTTAATTCAGTATTGTGTGTTTCTTTGTAATTATTTGTGAAATTTACCAACAATTTCTGAGTGAAAACTGTTTTAAAGTAAATCCTATACCATTTTTTCAGTGCCCTCCAACTAATATGCACCTTTTATGAACCCTAAAGGTAAATTTTTTACACATTTGTCCCCTGTAATATATAGCTTGCAAAGTTGTTAATATGTTTATCTTTCCTATTTTATTTATTCAATAAATTGGGATTTTTTCCCCCAATTCTTCATGTGTCAGCTTAACTAAAGTAACAAAATAATTACCCACTGAAGTTCCTTTCTATAGGAAGCATGTACTTGAATTCAGAGATCTGTTAGTCTTACCCATTCAGCACTTATTTAATTTTAAAACCTAGCTAAGAACAGCATTTTTAAGCTCCAGGCTTTAAGATCAGAGAGATAATCTGACAATATTAAGAATGTGGCTGCATTTATTTGCATGATATCTCTCTCCTGAAGCCTTGTCTACAGTGACCCGGAAACCCAGGCCTTCCCACAATCCCAAGCGTGGATTCATAACCATGGCAATGTAGCTGTGCTGCTGCTCAGGGTACATAGCAGCAGCAGCTGGTTCCAATTGCATTGCAGCGCATGGGAACAGGAGGGGGGCTCCTGCTATATATGAGGTGCTTTAACTCTCTCGCATTGGTATTCTTTAAACTTTGGGAACATCTCTATAGGCAATATTAGCCGTATAAAACTATATTTTAGGTAGTAGTTTGAGAAGTTGAGCAGATATTTATTAAAAAAAAAAAAAAGAATGTGGGGAATACCATTTGTGTATCAAACATTTACCTAAGCATTTGGCTATTTTAGATTATGTTAAATTCATAGCGATGACTAGGCTTATCTTGCACAATCAGGCTCCACACAAAGGGTGTGGACACCAGGGCTTCTCAGCAAGACTCCAAGCACAGCTGACAGTGAATCTGCAGATCTGAGGGGTGTTGGAAGGAGATTTGGGTGTGGGGGGAAGGTAAATAATTCATGATGTAAAAGGCAAGATTTAAAGGAGGCATGGACAGACACAGCGAGGCCTGATTCTGAGTGTTTGATATCCACACGTTAGTGTTTTGTGGGCAGTAGCTGCAATGAGCATTAAGAACATTACTACTTTGCATACAGCCTGTGTTGGAGAAGTACAACCATTATAGAAAGTAATTTTGTTATATTACTATTGATAGCAAGACAACTTAAAAAAAAAACTGCATAAAAAAAAAACTTACAACAAAAATGAGAAATGTTGCCTTGTCAACTACCTTAAGTTTAAATTGAAATACTAAAATGACTAAAACTTAAATAATTCAAACTAAAGCTATAGTAATATTTAAAAATCAAAAAGTAATAAAAATGACAAAAGCACAAAACTGAATTACTAAAACTTAAAAACTCAAATGAAAACTCAAATAAAAACAAATATGAATAAATACTATAATAGTATATAAATAATACTAAAATAACAGTTTTGAATCTAGAATGACACAAAAACAGATAGGGCTTTTTATTGCAAACAGAGTTTCAATGGATGCTTTTCAAATGAACATCCTTAGAGGAAGTGATGGCTGCACATGGCTGATGGCAGTAACATTTGAATGTTAAATACAGACACAATCATGACACTGATGAAATTCACTTTCAGACTCAGGGTTTCAGAGCCATTGTTCAACAAATCAAATCAGATCTGGATAAAAGAGGCATACTGTAGTCAGACTATTTGATTTATGGTCAGAATTGACTAAGCACAGCCTCAGGGAATCTTGAAAAAAATAGTATCATGGTTTAAGCAGCACATGTTTTCAACATTGATAAGTTCTTGAGCAGCAAATCAGCATAGGGTGATTTCTGAAGGATTATGTGACACTGAAGACTGGAGTAATGATGCTGAAAATTCAGCTTTGCATCACAGGAATAAATATATATTTTTAAATATATTAAAATAGAAACATTTTAAATTGTAATATTTTTCACAATATTACAGTTTTACTGTATTTTTTATCAAATACATGCAGCCTTGATGAACAAAGGAGACTTCTCTCAAAAATATTAAAAATGTTACTGACCTTTCTGAACTTTTGAATAGTATGCGGTACGAAAATATGAAGTACGAAACATTTAGGAAAAACAAACATGATCCATTTGTTCTGTCTTGACCAATCATACAATATGTACTTTGAGCATTAGCATGACGATAATTTGAAGTAAAAATTCACTGTACAAAAAATTCAACCTTCTAAAAAATTTTTTTTCTTATTAATCAGCAGTGCCAAATTTACCTGCAGTGATAAGCTTAAATACATGTAAAGTTAATTTGATGAAAACTGATGTTGTTAACCACATGATGATGACAACATTTATTTTTACATGCAAAACAGCGATTTTAGACCCTAAGTGGTCAGATTTGCATTTACAAAAGAAGAAACTTGACATTTGTGTTGCATCCCGGGACAGGGAGTGGCTGGCCACTGACCACAGATAGGTGTTGCCTTGGGAACAGATGCTCTCTATAGACAATAGATTTGGTGAACGGAGAATTATTTTATGAAACAAAAGCACATCAAACACAAGAGAATCAGCGGCAGCGTGAGCACACCTCAGTGTGTGCGTGACCCACCTTCATTCCTTAGTCAGACCAACCCATGTATACTTCTGGTTAGTAGCAGGGGATCCTTCTGGCACAAGTGTACCATTTTAAAATCAAAGGGAATCATAAAAAAGAAACTGTTGAAAAAAGGAATCATAAATGTATAATAGTAAAGCAAGGTGTTTGTCTGTTAAGAATAAATTTTTTAGTTTATCTAAATTTAAATAAAGCTTGTAAGCACAAGTGAGGCTGTGCAAATTCAAAAGGTATGGGTCAGTTAATGTCAGTGCTGTTAACTCAAATGGTAAACAATGTACTATAAACATTGTCCTGGGTCCAAAAAACCAAACTGAATGTACTGCAGATGTTTGCTAAATTCACTGTAGCATACAATCTCTTGCTAAATGAACACTCGTGACTATCACTGACATGTTTTATTGATGATGTAAAGGTGTGACGAACTTGTTTAAGATAGAAGCTCTGGACTCAGAAAAGATTTTAAATTTAACTTTAGACTTTGTGCCAAATACATCCATAAGAATAGATAAAAACGGTGCAAACAGGATAAGACCAGCCTTCCTAATCTCTGTTTTTTTTTTCTGTCTTGTTGAAATAGCAGCTGAGCCTTCATACAAACAGACCTGGGCCCGTATTCACAAAACATCTTAAGGCTAAAAGTAGCTCGTAACTCGCCAATTTAGGAGAAAATCTTAAAAATAATGGGCGTGTCAGTCCTAAATTTAGGACTCCTAAATTTTTGATCTAAAAGTATTTCACAAAGCATTTTAGCACTAAAACCATAGCTCCTACATCTGTGAAACGTTAGGAGTAGTGAAGAGGACTCCTAAGTCACTAAGACCAAACCACAAACTATACCTAAAATGGCTGTTGCCGGCAATCTGCCTCGGAATGTAAACATTTTAGAAATACTTGACAATAATGAGCTTTTATAAAGCTATCACCTTCGGTTTTGAAGGTTATCCCAACTCCAAATGTTCCTTTGAGTATGTCCTTGTTTTCATTAACCAGTTGGTCAAGAAGTAATAGCTGTGCTTGTGTCCAGTTTGGTTTTCTTTTACATTTGCATGTCTTGCTATCAGCCATGATTATTCTACTATTTTTATTAAAAGGCTGTTTATATGCATATCCACTAATTATGAGAAGCATACATGTAAGAGGCTGACAATTAGCTGAAAACATACTTGTTTAATTAGTGACACTTAGCCTGCATTTTAAAATCTTATTTTTAATTTTTAAACCTTTATCTTTACTCTAAAATATTTCTATGAATAAATCTCTGACAGAGACTATCAGCCAATCACTGTGTGCATAGTTAGTAAGCATGCTGACATCATCCATAGCAACGAAGTCAACACCGCCCTTTCTCTTATCTTAAAGGGATACTCCACCCCAAAATGAAAATTTTGTCATTAATCACTTACCCCCATGTCGTTCCAAACACCTAAAAGTTTCGTTCGTCTTCGGAACACAATTTAAGATATTTTGGATGACAACGGGGAGGTTTGTGACTGTCCCATTGACTGCCAAGTAAATTACACTGTCAAGGTCCAGAAAAGTATGTAAGATATCGTCAGAATAGTCCATCAGTAGTTCAACTGTAACGTTATGAAGCGACGAGAATACTTTTTGTACGTGAAGAAAACAAAAATAACAACTTTATTCAACAATTCGTCTCCTCTGTTTCTCTCCGCATCGCCGTAGCGCCATTTTGGAGAATAACCACTGAATGCAAGCAGCGTATGCTATTCTGTGTCAGCCGTGACACAAGGATACATTTTCTGCGTGTATTTACGCTTTGTTTTGAACGAAAACAGCGCATCCGTGCAGCGCAGCTGACACAGAAGAGTGTACGCTGCTTGCATTCAGTGGATATTCTCCAAATCTCTCTATTCCTTAGTAAAAGTTTGTCTCAGGAGCTTTGTGAATAAGTTTTAAGAGAAAACTCTTAGCTAAAAACTTTTACTGCTATTTAGGAGAACTCTTAGTGGTAAGATAAACTGTTTTGTAAATATGGGCCCAGGGCAATGGAGCTTTTTCTTCCAGCTTTAAACAACTATACATTTATTAAAAATATCACTTAGGCTATTAAAAAAGTCTGTGACTTATTTTAAAACATACATAATCTGTAAATTGTAGGCTACTATTTGAGAATAAAATATATATGTGAATTAGCCTAATTAAGAATTAAAAAAATCACAAGAGAAAAGTCCAAATAAATAAAACAACCTAAAACTCTACCTGCAACCTCGGAGCAAAAGGTTAATGCAATTTCCATTGGTAAATCTCAATCCAAAAGGCTACTACAACCACATGTAAATATATACAACTACATACAGCTTAATAACAGACAGACAGACAGACAACCAGATAGATAGATAGATAGTGTTAATACAAATCGATGCCTCTTTAACAGTTTATTACTTGATTTTTGCTATAGCATAGATCAAATTTAGATATCAAAAATAAGAAAGTACTATTAACCTACACGATCATGAGAGGCAATCGTGAGGGTGCGTCGTGCCCCCGCGGTGAGCGGAATGGAAAAGTTAGTGTGGAGAGAGTGAGTGAGAGCCGGATCTATCCGTCGCCATTACTGACTGGAATGAGAGGGGAGGGGATACCTCTCCGATTACACGCATACCACTCTTACTGCTAGAAAACACTGTAAACAACCACTTTGGGGGAATTTCGCCGATTATTCCAACCACTCAAAGGAAACGCGACAAAACTGGAATTTGTTTCGGCGTCCAATCTGTGGAAATTAAAGGAAATAGTTGGAATGCCTCCTATCTGTGGTGTCGGGAGCTGGGAGCGACCATGTTAGGTAGGGGAATGTACACGGAGTATGTGACTTTCTAGTACGCTTTTTGTCGTTTGCCTTACTGAATTTGGTTTAATGTATGATTTATTTCCATGTCTAAGCGATAGTTGTGTAGCTTTATGTAAATGCACAGATTTGTCTGTCTCGCCTACAGTGCGCTGTGTCGGTGTCACACTTAACTAGCCCTGGCTAACTGGGAAGCTAGCAAGCAAAGGAAGCATCTAATGCCTAGTAAGAGGCAAGGCCCGTGTCGATGCGAATACAAATAAGCATATTAACACATACTAAACGGATCTAAATCGCCGTGTTATTTAATGCAACAAGCGCGTCTGCGTAATTGATTTGCTGTGATAAAACTATTCAGATGTGAAATCCAATTCCTGGGATTGAAATGCAGTGGACGCTTTTGGGTTGAGGTGTTTCGAAGTAAATTATACACTAATTCTTCGCAACGTGGAACCCAAATTCAGTTTGCTGTCATAGCAATCATTGCGGATAATTCACTCGACTAGTTGTGGGAATCGTCGAGTGCCCGTAACAATAGCGCTTCTGCCCGCGTTCTCACCTTCAGCAGATGTTTCTGTCTGCTTTACATCCTCGCTTGAGAAACACATCCCGCCGTCGTTAAGAAACGCGCCTCGACATTGATGTCCTGTGTTTCCGTGAGGTCCTTTCGTTGATATCCCATAAATGAGGTGGTTATGACATTCTCAGCATAAAGGCATAATTCGGCCAAAATGACATTTCTGTCATCATTTTCTCCAGGGTTCCCACGGTCATGGAATAACTGTAAATATGTGAGACTGAGAATGTTAAGTTTTTTCCAGACCCGAAAATTACAAGGCAATCTTAAAAGTCATAGACATTTTTAAAGAGAATATGCATATTTCTGGTTATGTTGAGTTTTACGATATTTCATCAATTAGGTATTGATTTTGTGTGGAGTGAGACTATTCGTGAGCTTGCTGTTCTTTTGAGTCGGTTCTTTTCAATGAATCGATCAAACTGGTTCAGAAAATGGTTTGAAAGCACATCTAAATGTCCTTATCCAGTCATAATAAATGACTGAAAAAGACGGGAATGTATTGATCAAAAACACGTATGATTTTTCTTCTTCTTCTGTGGAACAAAGAAAGGCAGCTTCAGTTATCACTTAGTTTCGTTATGTGAAATTTATGTGAAAACAGATGCAATAAAAAAAGTGACTCCGGCTGCCATTCTGGCAAAGATCTTCTTTTGTGTTCCACTGAAGAAAGAAAGTCATACAGGTTTGGAACGACATGAGGATGAGTAAACAATGACATAATTTTCACAAATGTGAATCTTTTAAAGAGGAGGCTTTACACTTTTCCCAGGCTTTACACTGCCAAATATTGAGTACAGTAGAGGCCTATTTAAAAGTGTTTCTAGTTATGCTGTCAGTGCCAACGCTGAATTGAATTGCATTTATAAAATATTTTCTTGCAGTTGTTTTGTTTATCATAAACAGAATGCTCTTGAGCATAAAGTAGCTGATTTGCTGCCTTATTTATACTGACAGATGCATTTATTTGTTCGCACAAATCTTATCACTGCTGAGGACAAGCATAGCGTGCATATTTTCTAAAAACACTGGAGTACATGCTGTAAATGTATATTACAGCAAAAGAGCTTGTCAGTGTCAGTACTCCTACTTATATTATGATCAACGAATGAGTTGAAGATGTGTCAGATGTGGATCATTGTGAAATTTTGGGATATATTTGTACCCTGAGCAGTTGTGGTTGTGTTTGAAGATTTTAAATATAAAAAAACAAATAAAATATAAAAAACATAAAATACATCGGCAGTAATATTATCATTATAAACATTACTGTCAAACTTGAAGTTTTAGATATCCGCGCAACGATGCATACAGTTATGTTGTGTATTGCGAATCATAATTTTTTTTATTGTACTTGTTTGTTTTGTATTGTGATTGTGCCTGTTTTGTCATCAGATTTATTAAATTCAGAATGATAAATGAGTGATTGGCTACTGAAAACTTTACAGTTTGTTATTGTTGACTAATTTAATATTTGTATGTTGCAGGAAGGTGATAGGAGAGGAAAGAGCAGTTGTCTGGGACAGATGATCAAGATTAAAGCTACATTGGCTCATGCAAAGTGAGAAATGTAAATGCGCCTGCACTAGCAAATGGAAGTACGTGCTTGCCTGGCCGGCATACTTTGCTTAGCATAAAAAGCAATGAGAGGGGCAATATAATGGCCAAGAATAAGGAGCCCCGTCCGACATATGCTGTCAGTGTCGTCGGACTCTCAGGCACTGAGAAAGAGAAGGGCAACTGCGGCGTAGGTAAATCCTGCCTATGCAACAGATATGTGCACCCCACTGCAGACTGCTATTACTCGGAGCACACTTCTGTGTTGAGCACAATTGACTTTGGAGGGCGCGTGGTGAATAACGATCATTTCTTATACTGGGGTGAAGTGTTACATCGTGGGGATGATGGCCTCGAGTGTCGAATCCAGGTCATTGAGCAGACTGAGTTCATTGATGACCAAACCTTCTTGCCTCATCGGAGCACAAACCTGCAGCCTTACACGAAACGGGCTGCAAATACGAAGCTTCAGTCTGCTGAGAAGCTGATGTACATTTGCACAGACCAGCTTGGGTTGGAACAGGATTTTGATCAGAAGCAGATGCCTGATGGCAAGCTCAACATCGATGGCTTTGTGTTGTGTTTAGATGTAAGCAAAGGATGCAATAGGAAATTCGACGACCAGATGAAATTTGTCCACAGCCTTTATTCTCAAATTTCCAAGACGAAAAAACCCATAATCATCGCAGCAACAAAATGTGACGAGTGTGTCGAGCAATACCTGAGGGAGGTGCAGACGTTTGTTACAGGTAAAAAGAATCTCATGTTGGTGGAAACATCAGCTCGAGCGTCTGTGAACGTGGAACTCTGTTTCAATGCTCTGATACAGCAGATGGACAAAACCAGAGGAAAACCCAAAATCATCTCTTTTTTGGAAGCGTACAAATCCCAGAGACAATTAGTAGCTTCAGTTTCAGACAAGTTTGAAAAGCTCATCGTTCAAACTGTCCGAGATTATCACACGAGCTGGAAAATTTTGAGCAATAAGTTGAAAAGCCACCCAGACTATGAAGAGTACATCAACTTAGAAGGAACCAAAAAGGCTAGGAACACCTTTTCGAAGCACATAGAACAGCTGAGACAAGAGCATATCAAGAGGCGGCGTGAGGATTATTTTACTAGTCTGCCAAAAATTCTTAATAAGTTGCTGAACAACCTGGAGGAAATTGAGACGCTGAGTTGGACTGAGGCTCAGAGCCTTATGAAGAGCAGGCCTGAGTTTCAATACTGTTTCATTGAGTTAGAACAAACGCCATGGTATGAGACAGACCACCTCGATAAAACCGACGACAGAAGAGTGCCCTTCGATATCCTCAAAACCATGGAAGGAGAGAGGATTTATAAAAACCACGTACAGCATTTGGTATCTGAGAAGAGGCGTTTGGAGATGAAGGAGAAATTCAAGAAGACACTGGAGCGAGTGCATTTCATTAGCCCCGGCCAAGTGTGGGAAGAGGTCATGTGCTTTGTCATGGAGGACGAGGCGTACAAGTACATCACCGAATCAGATCGCAGGGATGTTTACAGTCGGCATCAGCAGGAAATAGTTGAAAGGGCCAAAGAGGAGTTTCAGGAAATGCTTTTTGAGCATGCAGAGCTGTTCTATGACCTCGATTTGAACGCGACCCCGAGCTGTGACAAGATGAGTGAGATTCATGCTGTACTTAACGAGGAACCTAGATACAGAGCTCTCCAGAAACTCGCCACTGACAGGGAGTCACTTTTACTGAAACACATCGGGTTTGTCTATCACCCCACAAAGGAAACGTGCCTCAGCGGCACGGCTTGCATCGATCTCAAAGTCGAGCAAGTCCTCGCCAACAGGCTAGTTCAGCTGGATCACGGCCGCTCGAATATCTACTACAACCGTGCCAACATTGATAAGGTTAACTTGTGTCTCGTGGGCAGAGAAGGATTGGCGCAGGAGCTCGCAAATGAAATCCGAGCTCAGTCCACTGATGATGAATACAGCCTTGATGGGAAAATCTATGAATTAGACCTTTTGCCTGTGGATGTCAATTCCGGCATGCTTTTGAACCATTCCTGGATATCGACTTTCAAGCCCCATGGGTTCTTTTGTGTCTTCAGCTCTATAGAGTCGCTTAATTACATCGGTGACCGCGTAAGCCGGATCCGAGCTGAGATTGCCCAGAGCAGAAGGGATAGGTATAGCCAGCCAGTGCCATTCATTCTCATTCTAGCAAATCAGCGCGATAGTGTTTGCAAAAACATGCCTATTTTGAGGCATCAGGGCCAACAGCTTGCAAATAAGCTACAGTGTACTTTTGTAGATATACCCTCCAGCACTTTTCCCAGAAAGTTTAATGAGTCTCAGATAAAACAGGCCCTCAGAGCAGTGTTGGAGGGATTGAAGCACAATTTCGACATGATGAACCCCATGCCCTCCATTAAGGATCTGTCTGAGACAGATTTGCGGATAGTCATGTGTGCCATGTGTGGAGATCCGTTCAGCGTGGATCTCATTCTCTCACCATTCTTGGACTCACATTCCTGTAGCGCCGGACAGCCCGGGCAGTGCAACACATTGATCCTTGACAAAATCATCGGCGACAGCCGCAGACGCATACAGGTCACTGTGCTCTCCTACCACTCCTCCATTGGAATCAGAAAGGACGAATTGGTGCATGGGTACATTCTTGTTTACTCAGCAAAACGAAAGTCTTCCATGGCTATGCTGAGGGCGTTCCTGGCCGAAGTCCAGGATGTCATTCCAGTTCAACTGGTGGCCATTACGGACAGCCAAGCAGACTTCTTCGAGAATGAGGCAATAAAAGAGCTGATGACTGAAGGGGAGCACATTGCCACGGAAATTACGGCTAAGTTTACCGCTCTCTACTCCTTGTCCCAGTATCACAGACAGACGGAAGTTTTCACGCCATTTTTCAATGAGGTCCTCGAGAAGAAGAGCAACATTGAAAGCTCCTTCATGTTCGACAACAGCAGGGATGGAACAGGCACCGGGGAAGACGTCTTCCCGCAATCACCTCATAGCCATTCGCCTGCCTACCAATATTACCCTGACTCCGAGGATGATGGGGAGGGGCCGCCACCTTACAGCCCGATAGGCGATGATGTGCAGCTGCTGCCCAATCCTAGTGAACGGAAGTATAGAATCGACCTGGAAGGAAACGAGTACCCAGTTCACAGCACACCTGTTGGTGATCATGAGCATAACCACAAAGTGCCTCCTCCGGTTAAACCCAAGCCCAATGTGCTGCCCAAACCCAACGTTAAGAAGCTGGACCCCAACCTTCTGAGGACCATTGAAGCTGGAATGAAGACCTCCCGGTGGACACGAGGTCCAATGATGGGTAACGGCGATGACCTTGAAGCATCCGATAACTATGCAGAGCCGGCCGACACTCTTCTCAAATCAAAAGGCTTCAGTGATGACATCTATGCCGTACCGGAAGACGCACACAGCAGATCTGGCAGGATCCGCAATTCGTTC